ACCTTCTTAACTTCAATTAGATCCAAAGCATCGTTCATTTTCATTAAAAGAAAACTCACTAACCATTTGGCTAACTAAAGGGAAGATTAGCTTCAAAAAAACCCATTTAACTCAACGATAATGATCGCCTTTTTTTTCTATAAATCTCTCACTTTTGCTATTTTTCTCTCTTTCTTACGTAAAACTTTCATTTTCTTTTTTTTTCTTTTCTCTCAGCCATAAAAATCGTCATCACTAAGAAGAAAAGAAGAGAAAAATCGATAAAAAACGATTTTCTAGTTAGCCTTTCTTTCAAAACATCATTCAAACCAACCTCATTCTTAAATTAATCAAGAAATTTCTGTATTATTTTATTTATTTCAACTATTTAAAGCTATTTAAAGCTATTCAATACGAAGAATTCTATATTTTTAATCAAATGTAATCTATTTTATTCATAGGTAAGCTTTTTCACTGAATTTCAGACGAAAGACACACAATTATTAGACTAAAACCAAGACAAGACTTCTCAAAAAGAAAGCAAAGAAAAATCATCGATCATAGACATAAACAATAAAGTCTTGCATTGAACACTTTTTAAGATAATAAAGAGATTCCTAGAACACAGCTATAGCTACAGACAGCTATAGCTACAGACATCTATAGCTACAGACATCTATAGCTACAGACAGCTATAGCTACAAATAGCTATAGCTACAGACATCTACAGCTACAGACATCTATAGCTACAGATATCTACAGCTACAGACATCTATTTTCATATTCAGTTGACTAAACGATTCAGCATTCAATCATTTCCTCAAAAAGAATCGAACTCTCATCTATTTCCTTCTAATTCTTGACCAAATTCTTGACCAAATATTTAAGCTCAACTATTTCACCATTTTGTCATCGATCAATAAAAGATTTTCTCTATGTCTTGTGGGAATTTGGTCAATCGATTTTTTCCTAAAATCAGGTAGAAAGAGGAATTTTTATTCAATTTCAATCAATTCTATTTTATTCAATTTCATTGATTCAAATCTTTTACAGAGGAATTTAAGGGAAGTAAAGCTGTTCATTTCTTTCTCAAATTGTTAATAGATTTACAATGGATTTAACTACTAGAACTGTTACTTTCTCAGCAATTCTTGAGCTCAAAAGATAGCTTGAGAAAAGCAATAGCAAAAAAATCTCTTATTTTGACAATTTGACAGAGAAATAAACGGGTTTAAGCCTTTTCTTCTTCCTCTTTCTTTCTTTCTTTCTTTCTTCCTTCTCTTCCTTCTCTTCCTTTCCGTCTTCCTTATCTTCCTTCTCCTCCTTCTCCTCCTTCTCTTCCTTCTCTTCCTTCTCCTCCTTCTCCTCCTTCTCCTCCCTCCCCCTCCCCCCCCCCCCCCCCCCCCCCCCCCCTCCTCCTTCCCCCCCTTCCTTCTCCTCCTTCTCCCCCTCCCCTTCTCCTCCTCTCCCCTCTCCTCCTTCTCCTCCTCCTCCCTCCTCCTTCTCTTCCTTCTCCTCCTTCTCCTCCTTCTCCTCCTTCTCCTCCTTCTCCTCCTTCTCCTCCTTCTCCTCCTTCTCCTCCTTCTCCTCCTTCTCTTCCTTCTCCTCCTTCTCCTCCTTCTCCTCCTCTCCCCTCTCCTCCTTCTCCTCCTTCTCTTCCTTCTCTTCCATCTCCTCCTTCTCTTCCTTTCCTCCTCTCCGTCTTTCTTCCTTTCTTTCCTATTCCTTTTTGAACGGATAGCTTAGTAGTATCTACCCGTTAAGCACAAGTTCGCTGGTACAATTCCCTCAATTTCTTTTCCTTCTTCCTTTCTTCCTTCTCTTCCTTTCCGTCTTTCTTTCCGTCTTTCTTCCTTCCTTCCTTTCTTTCCTATTCCTTTTTGAGCGAATAGCTTAGTACTATCTACCTCTTAAGCACAAGTTCGCTGGTACAATTCCCTCAATTTCTTTTCCATTCATTTCTTTACCTTATCAGATCTGAAGCATTTAACTATTAAAGAAATGAAGAATTTCCTCCTTTTTTCCATTGCTAAACAAAACAGTTGATTCATCTCGAATCAAAACTTGTTGTTTTATCCCTCAATCTCTCTAGAAGCCTTAGAATTCTTCCTTTTTTCAAGATTATCCTCTTTTCACGTCTTTTTTAGCTTTTTTTTTTGTTCATTTTTAGTCTTTTTCGTCTTTTCTGTTCATTTTTTGTTCATTTTTATTCATTTTTATTCATTTTTATTCATTTTTTACTCAATTTCTAGACTTTTACTTCAATAAAAGTCTAGAAATTGATTGTTTTATTGTTTGATTTGATTGATTTAATTGATTTAATTGATTTAATTGATTATTCATTGCTTTTATTGATTTAATTCGATCTCTAAATGTTCAACGTTTTCATTTAAGCTTTCTAAAAGGTTATCGCTTTCTAAAAGGCTATCAAACTATCGTAATCAAACAATTTTTGTATCATTTGATGAGAAATCACAATCAAAATTAAGCTGATTACACTAATTTCTCGAAAAATAAATGTCTTTTAGAAAAAAGGACTTTAATTTGATCGCTTTATCGCTTTTATCGCTTTATCGCTTTTAAATGATCTTTTATCTAGTCTAAAACTCGTTTTGAAGTCTTTTGAAGTCTTTTGAAGTCAACATTTCTATTCTAATTGATAGGAAAATGAAAAAACGAGTTTCTAAAGCGAATTTGGATTTGTTGACTTGATTTTAGGAGGGTTTAACGATGATTTTTCATGCTAAGCCAGCTTTTAGAAGATAAAAGCCAGCTTCTAGAGTATAAGCCAGCTTCTAGAGCATGAGCCAGCTTCTAGAGCATGAGCTAAGCCAGCTTCTAGAGCATAAGCCAGCTTCTAGAGCATAAGCCAGCTTCTAGAGCATGAGCTAAGCCCGCTTCAGAGCATAAGCCAGCTTCTAGAGCATAAGCCAGCTTCTAGAGCATAAGCCAGCTTCTAGAGCATGAGCCAGCTTCTAGAGCATGAGCTAAGCCAGCTTCTAGAGCATAAGCCAGCCTAGAGCAAAGCCGCTTCTAGAGCATAAGCCAGCTTCTAGAGCATAAGCCAGCTTCTAGAGCATAAGCCAGCTTCTAGAGCATGAGCTAAGCCAGCTTCTAGAGCATAAGCCAGCTTCTAGAGCATAAGCCAGCTTCTAGAGCATGAGCTAAGCCCGCTTCTAGAGCATAAGCCAGCTTCTAGAGCATAAGCCAGCTTCTAGAGCATAAGCCAGCTTCTAGAGCTTTACTCTGACATTAGAATCTGTTCCACTGTAGCTCATTGGCTCATCTTTACCCGATAAGCGACGCTAAAAACCGCTTCGAATCCCAGCTCCACCATTTTGCATTCCCGCTCTTATTTCATCTAACTATTCCCCAGGCTTTACTGGGCTTTGGGCTTTGCTAGCTTTGCTAGCTTTGCTAGCTAGGCCATCTAGGCCATCTAGGCCATCTAGGCCAGCTAGCCCAAACTCAACCATAAAATTCAGCCATCAGCCTCTTTATAGTGACAAGGAAATTCGTTCTTCGTTCGTCATAAAATTCGAAATTCCTTTTTTCGTCATTTCTCGAGTGAAATTCTTTTCGTCTGAGTTCTATCCAGGGTTTCTGGAGCCTCAGTCCGTTGATTATCCACGTCCCCATTCTCCTTTCCCCTTCACTTTTTCTCTTTTATCGAGAAATGTGTTTAGAGATAGAGAAAAGACAAAAGATAGAGATAGAAAATTGAGGAAAAGATAAAGAGGAGAATTTTTGAAAGATTTAGAAAAGGTAGAGATTCTGTGGGTGCAGGAGAGGTGTAGGGAGGGGGAGAGGGAGGGGAAGAGGGAGGGGAAGAGGGAGGGGAAGAGAGTGGGGAAGAGAGTGGGGAAGAGGATTGGGAAGAGGATGGGAAGAGAATTGGGAAGAGAATTGCGAAGAGGATGGGGAAGAGTATTGGGAAGAGGATGGGGAGGAGAATTGAGAAGAGGATGGGGAAGAGGATGAGGAAGAGGATTGGGAAGAGGATGGGGAGGAGAATTGGGAGGAGAATTGGGAAGAGGATGGAGAAGAGGATGGGGAAGAGGATTGGGAAGAGGATGAGGAAGAGGATTGGGAAGAGGATGGGGAAGAGGATGAGGAAGAGGACTGGGAAGAGAATTGGATAGAGAATTGGGAAGAGGATCGGGAGTGAGGATGGGGAAGAGAATGGGGAAGAGAATGAGGAAGAGAAAGAGGAAGAGAATTGGGAAGAGAGTGGGGAAGAGAATTGGGAAGAGAATGAGAAAAGGAGGGCCAGGATGGGGATCGATTCTCCGCAAGGGGCAGGCTGGGACCCTGAGCTGGGCCCTAGAGTCTCTCAGAGACTTTCGCTATTTCTTAGCTCTTGTTTTTCTTAGATCTATGTACCCATTGCTCCTTACCCATTGCTCCTTAGACTACTCTGGGCCCTCTCTAAACTCTTGTTATTTCTAGATCTACAGACCTGGGTTTCTTTAGATCTATTGGTCCTTAGGCTACCCTGGATCCTCTCGAAATCTCTATCTACAGGACTCCTCTGAACTCTGTCTCTCTTCTCCACAAAATCTCTTCTATTTCAAGAATCTCATCCTTTCACTTCTCAAATTCTCTATTCCTTCTCTATTCCTTCTCTATTCCTTCAATATCTAAAGCTTTTCTCAGCCTGAGTCTCCGATAAGCTTAGATCTTTTTCTCCTCTTATTTCTTTCAATATTCTTCAATCTCCAATCAATCTACAAATTTCCAAAGCTTTCTATTTCTCTATCTTTCTCTAAACCTTCTAGCTCTTTCTCTGAAGCTTAAAATTTAAAAAAGAAGAGTGAAAAAGGAGAAGACCTAGAGGCACACTTGATGGCTATGAGCATGGGTTGGATCCTGGGCTCTTGCCTTTCTCTACCCTTACCCTAGACGGAATTTTGTTTTCTCTAGAGTTCTCTAGAGTTTCTCTTGAGTTTCTCTAGAGTTCTCTAGAGTTTCTCTTGAGTTTCTCTAGAGTTCTTTATTATCTCTCTCTCCTTTCCATCCAGATGTCTTTGCTTGATTTGTCTTTGAAGACTACTTTCATGATTCTCTTTTCGTAACTAGAGCTGAGCTTGATCCAAGACTGAATTTTGATCCAAGACTGAATCCTGAATCAATCCTGAATCAATCCTGTATCAATCCTGAATCAATCCTGAATCCTGATACAAGTCTGAATCCTGATCCAAGACTGAATCCTGATACAAGTCTGAATCCTGATCCAAGACTGAATCCTGATACAAGTCTGAATCCTGATCCAAGACTGAATCCTGATACAAGTCTGAATCCTGATCCAAGACTGAATCAATCCTGAATCAATCCTGTATCAATCCTGAATCAATCCTGAGTCCTGATCCAAGACTGAATCAATCCTGTATCAATCCTGAATCAATCCTGAGTCCTGATCCAAGACTGAATCAATCCTGAATCAATCCTGAATCAATCCTGAATCAATCCTGAATCAATCCTGAATTCTGAATCAATTACCTATTTCTTCTATGCAAAACTATCCAGTCTGCCCCCTGCCTAAGCTAATTCTTCATTCTTTGCTAATTCTTCATCATAATCTCTTTTCCATAAGGTTTACCCAAAGAATTCGGTTCAAACAAACAATTCGGTTCAAATTTATCGAATTCTTTGATTTTGATGCTCAAATTCGAAAAACTATTGATAAACAGAATAAAATGAATAGCTCCAATCAATTCCTCGAGCCTGAAAACCCTCGAAGACTACTGTTAACTACTATTTAACTACTGTTTAACTACTGTTAACTACTGTTAACTACTGTTAACTACTGCTTAACTACTGCTTAACTACTGTTAACTACTGTTAACTACTGCTTAACTACTGTTAACTACTATTTAACTACTGTTCAAGTCCAAGATGCTTTAACAGAACGTAGAATTTGTAGCGAAAATGATCTGATTTGAGCGTATTGTCTTTTGTCTCTTTCATCGTCTTGTCTCTTTGCTGAATGACATCTGCCATAGAGCATCCAACGCTGAATTACATGCTGATTCCGAATCTGTTTTCCGTTTCTGATTTGGAGCACTCTGTCAAAAGTTATAAGGGCTTAAAGTTTTGTATGGCCTTTGTATGAGAAGTCAAACTCAGAGTTTATCAGCAGATTTCACAGAGGTCTCTAGCAGCAGTGGTGGCCGAGTGGCAGTGGGTTAGAATACAAGGCGAACGGGAGGCGGGACCGGTCTGGTTCGAGTCCGGCCTTTGACTGTCGTTCCAATTTTTGAATGGGAAGTCAAACTTATTTTATCAGGAGATTTCCCAGGGGTATCTCACAGCATTGGTGGCCAATTGGCAGTGGGCTAGAATACAAGGCGAACGTCAAGCCAACCCAGTCTGGTTCGATTCCCCTTTCGACTTTTTTCTTTGGCGTTTTTTGAATTTGTTTATTGACAAGTTCCTGTCTCTATTTCAATCCAGTTGTCAACTATTTCGAATAAAAATGTTGCCTCTAACTATTAACATGCAGCTATCCGTTAGCATGAAGCGTTAAAATCCTTTCCATCAGCCTTTCCATCAACTCCATCCTTTGCAAGGATCTCTTTTACGCTCTCTTCCCTTTCTCCGTCTTTGCTCGCTTTTGAGACACATTTCTCTTTAATCCCTTCTTTCTCTTCTTCAGAGAGTATTCAGACACAAATCTACGCCTAATTCTCTTTTTTTTCTTTTTTCTCGAGTTACATCGATGAGATGAGTCAAATGCTTTGAAAAATTGTGCAAAACGAAAAAAAATCAAATCAAAATCAAATCAAATCAAATCAAAATCAAATAAAAACCCTCTAGAATCGTTTTCCTTATTCAAATCTTTTAAAAAAAACCCTTTCTAATGCAAAGAATTCTTGATTTTTCTAGAAAAAACCCAAGAAACAGCAGCCCAAGTGTAGCAAAAAGTTTGTGTTCTCACTCAGCGACAAAGTAAACTTTAAAGAGTGATTATTTTTTGATTATCTTATTTTTTGCTATAAAATTCTTTTCCATCCTAAGTCACATCCAGAATTTCAGAGCCTCTTGAAAAAGCTTGAAAGCTTTGAAGCCTAGGCTTGAAGCCTAAGCCTACGCCTAAGCCTACGCTTGAAGCCTAAGCCTAAGCCTAAGCCTAAGCTTGAAGCCTAAGCCTAAGCCTACGCTTGAAGCCTAAGCCTAAGCCTAAGCCTACGCTTGAAGCCTAAGCTTGAAGCCTAAGCCTAAGCCTACGCTTGAAGCCTAAGCTTGAAGCCTAAGCCTAAGCTTGAAGCCTAAGCCTAAGCCTACGCTTGAAGCCTAAGCCTAAGCCTACGCTTGAAGCCTAAGCCTAAGCCTACGCTTGAAGCCTAAGCCTAAGCCTACGCTTGAAGCCTAAGCCTAAGCCTACGCTTGAAGCCCAAGCCTAAGCCTACGCTTGAAGCCTAAGCCTAAGCCTACGCTTGAAGCCTAAGCCCTAAGCCTACGCTTGAAGCCTAAGCCTAAGCCTACGCTTGAAGCCCAAGCCTAAGCCTACAGCTTGAGCCCTAAGCCTAAGCCTACGCTTGAAGCCCAAGCCTAAGCCCACGCTTGAAGCCTAAGCCCTAAGCCCACGCTTGAAGCCTAAGCCTAAGCCTACGCTTGAAGCCTAAGCCTAAGCCTACGCTTGAAGCCTAAGCCTAAGCCTACGCTTGAAGCCTAAGCCTAAGCCTACGCTTGAAGCCTAAGCCTAAGCCTACGCTTGAAGCCTAAGCCTAAGCCTACGCTTGAAGCCTAAGCCTAAGCCTACGCTTGAAGCCTAAGCCTAAGCCTAAGCCTACGCTTGAAGCCTAAGCTTGAAGCCTAAGCCTAAGCCTAAGCCTACGCTTAAAGCCTAAGCCTAAGCCTAAGCCTAAGCCTAAGCCTAAGCTTGAAGCCTAAGCCTAAGCTTGAAAGCTTTCAAAGCCTCTCGAAAATTGTGGAAATTTATAGAAGTTCACGTAGTGATCCTTATCAAATTTCGGTCGGTTCTCATCATCTTTCCCTTTATCATTCTTTTGCGAACCGCATTAGTAGGGTTTGGAATAAGCTCGTCTGTAGGAATCGTCTGGTATCTTCTCGTCTGTAGGAAAAATGAAAGTCCTCTGTAAACGAATTAGATCTTATTGCCATCTCAAATCTGCCCTATATTTATTCTTTTTGTCTCTGTCTTTCCTACAGACGTACTCTTACTGTACTCTTACTGTACTCTTGCTGTACTCTTGCTGTACTCTTACTGTGCTATCTTTAGTTTTCTCTCTTTTTTTGGTGAAAGTATTGTAGGAATATGTTATATGCAGTTATGATTATCTGATTCGCTTCTATTCGCCCATGAATAAAGCATATATATGTCGTAACCGATTATGAATTAAATTTTTTGCCGAATCTTTCTAGTAGAGCAACTCTTTAATGTATGAGGACAATATTATATCATCTTGTAGCTTGTAGCATCTTGTAGCGAATTAAATTCTGCGTCGATTGGTACCAAATTTGTGCGTTTAGGTTAAAAATTACCGGCGCTACAACGTTTGATTCAAAATCGGCGGGACCCCCGTAGCCGATGATGAATTTCAGCCGATTATGAATGAGTGGCGCGTCCAATGAGCGTCTAGGAGCGTCCAACCATCAAGTATTTAGTTTCATTCAACGCAGAATCATTAATAATTATGTTAAATTTTTAAAATTAGAAAGATTTGATGAAAAGAAAAAAAATTAGAGCAAAAAAACTGTTTGTTCAAGAGGAAACTTTGAGGCGCCATAATTTTTTTTCTTTTTATCCAATCTTTCTAATTTTAAAAATTTAACATAATTATTAATGATTCTGCGTTGAATGATACTAAATACTTGATGGTTGGACGCTCCTAGACTCACTTGGATGCTCCTAGACTCACTTGGATGCTCCTAGACTCACTTGGACGCTCCTAGACTCACTTGGACGCTCCTAGACTCACTTGAATGCTCCTAGACTCACTTGGACGCTCCTAGACTCACTTGGACGCTCCTATTCTCAATGATTCTGCGTTGAATGATACTAAATACTTGATGGTTGGACGCTCCTAGACCCACTCATTCATAATCGGCTGAAATTCTAGCTAAAACTCTGCCATCTCTATAGTTTTATTGATTCATTTCATCAATTTCAAGTTCGCGATTGTTTTTTGAGCATTTCAAATCGTTTTTTGGTCGTTCTTGAAAAGATGTTTCCATAGCTAAAGATTGAATAATGAGAATCGTCATTGTTTCTGAAAAATCTCAAGAAAAATCTCTTTTTTCCGATTTTCAAATGTTTCTTTTAAGCTGAAATGAAAAAAAAATGCAAAAATGAGAGAAATTCTCAATTCTAAACCCATTGGGAAATCAATTTTCTTTTAATTTTTGTAAAAATCTTGATTCTAAAAGAATTTCTTGAATAAAAAATCGAGTTTTCGTAGAAATTTGTGGAAATTTTTGTTTTTCCTTGGTTTTTCCTGGTTTTAATTGGTTTTAATTGATTTTAAATGCTTTAATCCTTTCTTTAAAGCCGTAATAAGCCTTAATAAACCTCTCTACAAGCCTAAAATCAATCAAAAGAGATCTTTTCCCAACTTTACAACTTTCAGAGGTTTAATCGGTGGGAAAAAGGAGCGAGCTTCGCCAGTGAACGCCTCATCCACTGCCAGTGTCACCCATTCTGAGAGGGTTTGTTAAAGAAAATGATAAAGAAAAGAATGATAAAGAAAAGAATGATAAAGAAAATGATAAAGAAACCAAGAAACCAAAGAAACCAAGAAACCAAGAAACCAAAGAAACCAAAGAAACCAAAGAAACCAAACCAATTTGTCTGATAATCAGACAAATTTAAAAGAAAAACAAGCACCAAACAACTTTGACACTAAACAACAAATTCTACTAGTTTTTCCCTAAAATCACCAATGTTTCCACTTTTAGAACTCGCTTTCCGGTCCCTCGTTTCACCAGAACAACAGCAGCGATCACTCGGGGACTCCTGTGCAAATACAGGTTTGTTGTAGGGAAGAAAATTGTTTTAAAAGTTGTTTCTATGGAGAAAAGAGTTGTTTTTATGCAGAAAAAGGCTCTTTCTATGCTAGAGTTTGTTTTAAAAGCTTTTCTTGTTTAAAAGCATTTTCTTGAAGTCAAGTCTTTCAAGCTAAGACTGGAGTTGGTTAGAAGGCTGGCAGAAGATTGGTAGAAGTTGGTAGAAGTTGGTAGAAGTTGGTAGAAGTTGGTAGAAGTTGGTAGAAGATCGGCAGAAAACCAGTAGTAGACTGACAGAAGGCCTAGCCTTTTGTCTGGACTTGGCTGAGCCAGCTTCTAGCCTTTTGGGACATCTCTATCTATAACACTATAACTATAACCAAAGCTGGGGCTGCGAATTTCAACAATCAGCGTCGGGACTCGAACCCTTCCGCTTTCTCAGGATCTCAGGATCTCTGGATCTCTGGATCTCAGGATCTCAGGATCTCTGGATCTCTGAATCTCTGGATCTCTGGATCTCTGGACCTCAGGATCTCAGGATCTCAGGATCTCTTGATCTCTGGATCTCAAGATCTCTGGATCTCAGGATCTCAGGATTCTCGCTTCCCAACGCTCTACCAATAAGCTACAAAGATCAAAGCCTTATGCTTTATGCATCAACTCAAATTCAGCCACTCGCCAACAACTCGTCATCACTGTCGAGTTGTGCCACAATTCCCACAAGCCTGCCACCTCCAATGATCGACTTACACGTGCCGCTCTCAACCACGATGAACAACACTGACATAAACACGCCAACGAACAACGATAATGGAGAGAATTTGGTGAGGATTTAGAGAAAAAGTACAGTACTTTTTATTCAAAAAAAACTTTCTAAAAGATACTAGGATTTAGTTTTTCTCCCACCTAGAAAATGCTCATTTATTTTCCTGAATTTGATCTTCCGCCCGAGAAAAACTCCCATCACCTATTTTGCATTCAGAATTTTGTGTTTGAAATTTTCGGGAAAAAACGGGGAAAAACGGGGAAAAAAACTGGGGGAAAAGGTCTAAAAGGTGACTGAAATTTCGAATAGGGGAAAAGGAGAGGGATTTATTTGGATTCCGGAGTTGTTGAGTTCAAAAAGGCCAAAGAGCTTCACAATGTTTCGGGATGTTCTTTAGATTTTACTCAATCAGATCTCGCTCGTTGATCAATTTGCAAACTCTATAGAGCCCTATAGATCCCTACACGGCCCTATGGAGTCCTACAGAGCTCTATCGAGCCCTATAGATCCCTATAGAGCCCTATAGACCCCTATAGGGCCCTATAGATCCCTACACGGCCCTATGGAGTCCTATAGAGCCCTATAGAGCTCTATCGAGCCCTATAGATCTCTATAGATCCCTATAGACCCCTATAGGGCCCTATAGACCCCTATAGGGCCCTATAGATCCCTACACGGCCCTATGGAGTCCTATAGAGCCCTATAGAGCTCTATCGAGCCCTATAGATCTCTATAGATCCCTATAGAGCCCTACAGATCCCTTTAGGTCCCTAAAGAGCCCTATAGATCTCTATAGATCCCTATAAAGCCCTATAAAGCCCTATAGAGCCCTATAGAGCTCTATAAAGCCCTATAAAGCCCTATAGAGCCCTATACAAAAGGATACGCAACCAATATATGGAAAAAAGACTAGCCACTGGCACCGAACCCGTGACCTCCCGACTAGGAAACAAGGCTCCTAACCACTCGACCATGGCGTCTGCATGACAAGATTTGGCTGAAGTTATCTTATATTAGACATGTTTATCGGATCGGATCTGATGCAATTCGTCCGGCCGATTGGCTGATCCATTCCGATCCAATAGGTTAGACCAATCGAGCTAGCCTGATCCATTCCGATCCAATAGGTCCGGCCGATTGTCTAGCCTGATCCATTCCGATCCAATAGGTTAGACCAATCGGGCTAGCCTGATCTATTCCGATCCAATAGGTCCGGCCGATTGTCTAGCCTGATCCATTCCGATCCAATAGATCCAACCAATAGAAACAAGCTTATGGCTTATGGCTGAAAGTTTCGAGGAAAAATCGTCCCCAGCCAATAAGAGGACGTCACATGGACTCGAGTAAAGAGCGGCGGTGGCCTAGCGTGCACCGAGCTGGAAAACCCATGCGGTCCTTTGCGGCGGGTTCGATCATCGACAAGCTTCTCATCTTTTTTGAAAAACAGACAAATACCATTCTTGAATAGCTAAATCCATAAATTCTGTCTTTCTCTTTTCTTAAATTCAAAAAATTCAATGTGATCGATGAAAATTTCCCATAAAGAATGTGAAATGATGTAATTCGAGCCATCTTTTGGCTTCATTTTGGCTTCATTTTCACTTCATTTCCCTCCATTTTCCCCCATATTCCCCCCATATTTGTCCTTTCCTTAAGACTTTCAATATAGATGTCAAATTTTCATTTCTCATTTTGATATTGATGAAATTTTTGAGTGAAAAGAGGGAGAAATTGAATCGATTCGACTTTTTGTTGATTAGTTTTTGAGAAGCTTTGAAAAGCTTTAAGAAGCTTTGAGAAGCTTTGAGAAGCGTTGAGAAGCTTTGAGAAGCTTTGAGCAGCTTTGAGAAGCGTTGAGAAGCTTTGAGAAGCTTTGAGAAGCTTTGAGAAGCTTTGAGAAGCTTTCAAGGGAAATAAGGCTTGACATTACGATGATGAAATGACAATGAAGATCAATTACTAGTAGAACAAACGAACAACTAACAAGAACAAGAACAAGAACAAGAACTAGAACTAGAACTAGAACTAGAACTAGAACTAGAACAGCAACAAGAACAAGAACAAGAACAAGAACTAGAACTAGAACTAGAACTAGAACAGCAACAAGAACAAGAACAAGAACAAGAACTAGAACTAGAACTAGAACTAGAACAGCAACAAGAACAAGAACAAGAACAAGAACAGCAACAACAACAACAACCAAATTTCAGAACAATGAAGACAACTCACAAGCCGGTGCCTCGAATTCGGAAAATAATGGAGAAGTTGTTGAAGAAAGACAAGAGAAAAGCCCACAGGAAACGGCGAGACTCAAGAGGAGGTGAGATTGAGGACATTGTAGCCATTCAAGCAATTTCCTTACAATATTCTCGAGGTTAAGAATATTTTATAGAATTGGAAGTAGATAATGAATAATCCCTGGCATCCCTGGCATCTAATGAAGTTTTAAAGTCAGAAAGAAAGCTCGGTTAGAGTAATGTAGCTTGATCGCTCCTCCTGTCCAACATTCTCTAAAACTGAGCTCTATTTCCAGTCGTATATGGCTTCATTACTGTTAATAGACACTGAAAAATGGGTTTTAGTGCTTTGACAAAAGAAATCTGGATAGTAAGGGGATTCGAACCAGGGACAAGAGGGGTGAGAGGCGAGCCGATTGGCTCGCCTGATCCATTCCGATCCAATAGGCTAGACCAATCGGGCTAGCCTGATCCATTCCAATCCAATAGGCTAGATCAATCGGGCTAGCCTGATCCAATCCTATCCGTCCGCCCAATCGAGCTAGCCTGATCCGATCCGATCCAATAGATCCGACCAATCGGGCTAGCCTGATCCAATCCTATCCGTCCGCCCAATCGAGCTAGCCTGATCCGATTCGCCTGATCGATCGGACTAGCCCGATTCACCCGATCGATCAGACTAGCCCGATCCGATCTGCCAAAAAATATATAATATCAATTTTTACAATATTATCCAAATTTCCCCTTTCAGCTACGTGTTAATGGAGTTGGTTGAGACGGAGAAAGACTACGTGAAAGATCTCGCGAGCGTCGTCGAGGGATACGTGGCAAATTGTGTAGGTTTCGATCTATTCTATGATCTATTTGATATCTATGTATCATAGAATACATAGATAATTCTGTGTAATAGATCATTAGCGCTAATTTCATTCGCTAAAAATTTCAGGAAGCCAATTTGCCCGAGGATTTACTCGGAAAGGACAAGATTATCTTCGCCAATATTGCGCAAATTCAGGAATTTCACGCGAATTCGTTCTTGAAAGTAATGATTTTTAAAAAAATAGATATATATATATATGTCGTAACCGTTTACGAAATTCAGCCGCTAACGAATGAGGGTATTTCCGGGCATCCAATCAAAAAGTGACCCACATAAAAAATGTTCACAATACATATATTTTATAATAAATTTTTGAAATTAGCTCATTTGGTTCAGTAGAAAATTTTTTTTGAGCCCCCAAAGTTTAGGTTCAAAAATGGCTATAAAAAATTTTCTACTCAGCCAAAAAACTTGCTTAATAGCTCATTTTGTAGCCAATTTGATGTAGTTTCTTAAAGTAAAGCCATCTAAAACAATTTGTCGTTGAAAGGAGGAGAAAGAGGGCGAGGAACGACTTCAGTTGAACTCGGTCGCTGTTTTCACATTTGAGAATTGCCCTGAATTTGTTCCTCGCCCTCTTTCTCCTCCTTTCAACGACAAATTGTTTTAGATGGCTTTACTTTAAGAAACTACATCAAATTAGCTACAAAATGAGCTATTAGGCAAGTTTTTTGGCTGAGTAGAAAATTTTTTATAGCCATTTTAGGGCCATTTTTGAACCTAAACTTTGGGGGCTCAAAAAAAATTTTCTACTGAACCAAATGAGCTAATTTCAAAAATTTATTATAAAATATATGTATTATGAACATTTTTTATGTGGGTGACTTTTTGATTGGATGCCCGGAAATACCCTCATTCGTTAGCGGCTGAATTTCGTAAACGGCTACGACATATACAATATTACAATCGTTAAACAATTTCTAATCAAATCAAATTGAATTATGAGCTTAGGAGATTGAGAAAAGCCTTCACGACTACAACGCGGCCGGAAGAGCTTTCGTCAAATATGTAAGTGATAGAAAAAAAAGTTACTGTAATTAGTTAGACAAACTAATAGACAAAGCGTTTTCTAAAAAGCATCTATTTTAGACAAACTACTGTACAAAAACCGTTATTTTTACAATAAATTAACTACCGTAAATACTGTAATAGTACCCCACCCCCGTCGTACAGTCGCGTAGTCGCAAAAGTTTTTTAGTATTTTATTGTTTTTCAAAGCACTCGTACTTTCAAAAAATACGGTTTTGATATCAAAAAATAGCCCTAAATTTCAGCTATTTTTTGATACCAAAACGAACATTGTAGCTTAAACCAGTGTCAAGAAAAACTCGTTCAAAGCTAGACTACGCAACGCTCCGCACCTTTTTTCACTTTTTTCAAAGCACCCGTACTTCCAAAAAATATGTCTTTGGTATCAAAAAATAGCCCTGAATTTCAGCTATTTTTTGATACCTAAGCGAGCATTGTAGCATAAACCGGTGTCGAGAAAAACGCGTCCAAAGCTAGACTACGCAACGCTCCGCACCGTCATTATGGGGGTGGGATACTATTACAGTATTTACAGTAGATTTTAGATTATTTTGTTCATCAGCGTTTGTTTGTGAGGAAACGTAGACTACGCGACGCTCCAATAGGGGGCCGTTCTATTAGAGTTTTTTCGTAGATAGATTTGATAAAAAGAGAAATTCGGACACTTTTTAGAAAGATTAGAGAGCAAAAAACACACTTTCATTACAGTAATCTGTCTAGAAAACGAGAAGAATAGACGCTATTCAGCAGAAATCTTTCAGCAGGCTAATTTCCGCAATTCTTTTTGCGCAACTCGCCATAACTCTCTTCTAAGTCGGCTAATCTTTATGATTTTGGTGTCATTTTGTAGATCTCAACAAGTGCAACAAAATGACACCAAAATCATAAAGATTGGTCGAATTAGAAGAAAGTTATGCCGAGTTGCGGAGATTAACCTACCCCGAGAAATTTCTCATGTTCTTTCATCTTCTCAAACCTTTCAAAAGCTTAAATATCAGTTTTTTTTCTTGAATTCAATCTATTTCATCAGTTATTTTATTGATCTATTTATCGATTTATTGACTTTTATTCATTTTATTTCTTTAGGAAAGACGCTTGGAGAATCTCTATGTGAAATACTGCCAAAACAAGCCGAAATCCGACTATCTGGTGGCCGAGGAGCGATTTGAACAAGTAAAAACTTATCGAAATATGTTTTATATGTAAAATCGTATAAAAATGTGCTTAGCTTCACTTTATATAGAAATTTTTCTATATAAACTCCTTAAATGAGAGTGCAGGGCTAAATTTTAAGCGTCAAAGTCGGGAGTGGGACAAATGCGACCTTTTTTTTGCACACCCGGACATTTGCGCACCTTTTTTTCCGCACCTTGCCCATTAGGGCACCTTTTTTTCCGCACCTTGCCCATTAGCGCACCTTTTTTCGGGTTTTAAAAAAGCTCTAAAAGCTAATATTAACCAATTTCTATTCCAAAAGTTGTTTTCTAATTTTCTAGGTAATTTTAGGGCGTAGAATCGAAATTTTGACATATCAGAGCTTGTGGAAACACACGGACGGAGTTATACAAAGAGAAAAATCGACAATTTCCTTTAATTTGACCTAGCCGTTTTGTCTTTCAAATTGGTTCCACACGCTCTGTTATGTCAAAATTTCGATTCTACGCCCTCAAATTACCTAGAAAAACAACATTTGGAATAGAAATTGGTTAATATTAGCTTTTAGAGGTTTTTTAAAACGCGAAAAAAGGTGCGCTAATGGGCTAAGTGCGGAAAAAAAAGGTGCGCAAATGTCCGGGCGCGCAAAAAAAAGGTCGCATTTGTCCCCACTCCCGTCCAGGTCGTTTAAGCGTCAAAGTCTATTATAGAAAATTGATGGTGTAAATGCATTTGGTTTCTAGCAAATTTTATTTCTATTTTTCTCTTAAACTGTTTTTCTATATAAAATAAAGAAAGATTACAATTTTTAAGTAAAAAAAAATTAGCCTGAAAACTGATTGCATCGAATTGAAAGCTGCACCGGGGTAGGCATTTGCGCAACTCGCCATAACTTTCTGCTAAGTCGGCTAATCTTTATGATGAAGCAAAAGCCGCGGAAAAGCGTTAAGTTGCGTAGTTTTTGCTTTTTAGCCCAAATTTGACGTGTCAGCGTGGTCTGATTTGTCGAAATTCGGAATCTACGCATACGATTTCCTTATATGAACATTTTTGAAGCTCTAAGGCCTTTTCCAGCAAAAAAAAGGCGCGCAAATGTCCAGGTGCGCAAAAAAAAGGTCGCATTTGTTCCACCCCCAGAAATCGAATTGAAGAAATGATTTGTGAAAAAAATTAGTGCAATTTTTCTTTAAAAGTTTCAAGATTTTTGTAAAAATGTAATAGTTTTGAAAATTTTTGAAATTTTGCTTGAAATTGATAAAACTATCAAATATTTGAAAGTCAATGAAACTCTAGAGATAGATAATCGAAATTTTTAGATAAAACTATCATTTTAGCCAACTATATCTTTGGTTAGACATTTTTAAACGTTCACTTTGTGCGTTAGTAGGCCTTTGTAGCGCGCTTTATTCCCCTTTTCTTACAAAGAAGTGTTTAAAACAGCAAAAACTTGCTTAGCTTGCAGATTTTTTTTCGTTAAATAGAAGAAAATCGATCTCATCTATCTATTTCTCGTTGGGTATTCGAAATTTATATATAATTTTTTTTAGTTTTTTGCTGAAACAAAGCTGAAACTCGGTCACAAAGTGGCGCTATGCGATCTTCTCATCAAACCAGTGCAAAGAATCATGAAAGTGAGTTTCATTCTTTTCATTTTTACTCTAAATTGAAAACCTATTCTAAAAAGCTTAATTTTAGTATCAATTGCTCTTGAAAGACATTCTAAAGTTCACCGAACGAGCCAATGACGACACAACGCATCTCAATAAAGCTCTGCGGGTGATTTGATTTGAATTGAAGCTTTTGATATGCTAGTTTTCATATTTATAAGTATTTTAGTCTAAAACATTAAAGAGTTGCTAGTTTTTTTAAATAAAAAAACAGCTTTTAGCCGAAATCCAGCATTTTCAATGAGTGGACTAAGCTTTGATTGGCTATGCTTTGATTAGCTAAGCTTTCATTGACTATAACTTTCCTTAGAGATCAGATTATTCATAACTTTTTCTATATTTGTAACAAGGACATTTCAAGCTTTCAAATGATACCAAATAGAGTTTGATTGGATTAACCAGTCCAAAAATTTAAAGCCAAACTCTGAGCAAAGTGTCTGATTCAACTCGGATTTCGTTTTGCTTGATTTTCTTGGACTGAATAATCCAATCAAGCTCTATTTAGCATCATTTGAAAGCCTGAAATCTCCTCTTTCCAATGATATAAAAGCTTGTTAATGATTTGATCTCTAGGTAAAGTTATAGTCAATCAAAGCTTAGGGAATTTGACTATGAGCTGAGCCAGCGGTGGCTCATAATATGAAGGCAGATTAAGTCGACAAATGTGTCAAATTACTTAAACTTTATTATAATTTTATTTATAGAACATTTTCACATTTATATTTCAATTTTTAGCTTGATAAGTCGGCTGTGAGAAAAATTAAGGCCATTGAAGCCATAGAAGCGTCGTAAATAAAATTCTGATGCTTTTAAATGCTTTTCTCCATAAAAACTTGTGATTAAAATGAAGGCAAAATGCTTTTTATTAGTTATTCGTGCTTTAAAAAGGTTAGTAAAGATAAAATTATTACTTTTCAGCCTAATGTTAGCTTTGAAATCCTCTAAAACACTCAAAATCTTGTTTTTCATGGCTTATTTCATCTCGTTTTTAACATGACGACAATAAAAGCATTTAAAGCAATGAAAATTTGATTTTATAATAGTTTAAACAAAGATTTGTTTATGCTTTTAACATAGAAAAAGAAAAAAATGCATTATTTAAGGAAGAGTTTGAAATTTGAAGGATTTTAAGCAAGTTTTCGTAAGAAAATGGCTTCTAATGGCTTTTAATGGCTTTTAATGACTCTAAATGACTCTAAATGACTCTAGTTTTTCTTATAGCCGATTAAACAAGCTAAGAATTGAAACATACCGTATTTTCTCTAATAGTAGTGCACCCCGGCGAGCCGAGTTGGTGACGATTTACGGCTTCCAAAGTTTTCCCAGAAGCTCAATACTCAAATCCCCCACTAGATCTCATCGTCAGCTACATTTTCCGACCCCACATCGATAGGTTCTGATAAGCGGTTCACGAGATTTCGAGGAATTTAGGCGAAGCTCAGGGTGCATTACTATTAGAGAAAATACGGTAAATGGGAAAGTGTTAGATAAATGAAATTATAACAAAAATTTGCAATGTTTAGGTGATGCACGTTGTGCCGAAAGCTTGTGACGATATGATGCAAGTTGGACGTTTGCAGAATTTCGATGGAAATCTCAGCGCTCAGGGGAAATTGTTGTATCAGGTAAGAAAAGTTAAAATTTTATTGCTAATCATCAGTGAATTCTTCACATTTTTCTCACATTAAAAGCCTTAAAACTAAAGAATCGAGTGAGAAAGTACGTTTAAATCTTTTTGAAAGCACAAAGCGCAAAGAAAACTCGTACTGTTCTAAATCTAAAGTTTTTACTTTTAAAACCAATGTTGAAATTTCTAGGGCACCTTGTCGATCAGTGAATCAGTCGGGGGAAAAGTCGATAAACCAAAAGATCGCCGAATTTTCCTTTTCGAACAATCCGCAATCATCGCCGATCACATTCCGCCAAAGAAAGAGTTCGGCAATCCCACGTATATCTTCAGAAGTCAAATTATGGTCCGTTTAGATAGATCTGAAATTGATTTGTAAAGATTTAGGTGAACAAGATGATGTTGGAAACGAATGTGGCCGATGATCCGCTCAAATTTGTCATCAAAATGGACGAGAAAAAAGCTGGCGCATCGGCTCCGGCTGACGCTGGTCCACAACCGGCATTCATCGCCCTATCACAGACGTGAGTTTGAATTTGGATAAGGAAATTCAAATCCTACTTCTAGTAGTAAAGAGAAATTACAATAGTTTACAGTAAATACCTTTAAAACACTAAGCAATGGGCATAGATAGGGCTAAACTAAGCAATGGGCATTGATAGAGCTAAACTAAGCAATGGGCATTGATAAAGCAATTGACAGAGCAAATCTTCCCGTTCACCTGCTGGATTTTTCCTAAAACTTGTCCCCTTTTTTCTTTCTACCTGTTTCTATTTTATCTAATCCTACTTCTACATCTTTTTGCAGCTGAAATCCAGCTGAAAAACCCGCTTAATAACAAGTTTGAGTGTTTTAAGGCTGTTTTTGTCGCCGTGGCGCTTCAGGATAAATTTCGATAAGATGTTTAGCCAACACTTTCCTTCTTAGTTTATGAATTCTGCCTGGATAAAGTCTATTATGCTTTTATTTAAGTCAAATATCGAACCACTACATTACTAAATAGAATGCGCTTTCTAAAACGTGTCATTTTTCTCAACTATCGTAATCTTGTATCAAATTTTAGCTAATCTATCTTGATTCAAGGGTTTAAATATATTGAAAGCTATAAAAAGTGGATAGATTGGAGAAAACTAGAAATAACAACGAGAAAATTGACAGAAAATTGATGAGAAAAGAAAATATCAAGAGAAAATCAAGAAAATTGACATGTTTTTGAAAAAGAATTAGAATTAATTGACCTATTTTCAGTCCCGAGGAGAAAGATCAATGGATCGCAGCGCTTTCGGCTCAACTGGATCAACAGAAAGTTCTGTTAGCTGCTCTAGTCGACCCGAAGCGATATCAATCGCAGTTGGCCGGTGGAATGGATAATTTAGGGCTGTAAGTCATAAGATCTTATACCTTTAAAACACTAAGCAATGGGCATAGATAGGGCTAAACTAAGCTGATCTTTTTAAAGCTGATCTAAGTATGATCTTTTTAAACTATAGTATTATTTATACTTTTTAAAAAAATTGATTTAGTGATGACAAGAAGCCAGGCAGTGGCTCGGCGACAGCGCCAGTGATGTCATCGTCGCAGAACGCTTTCGGAAAGCTTGGCACATCAGCTCCAAAGGTGGATTTTGATTTTTGAATAAATCGATACAGTATTCTGTATTTTTACACCTTAATAATACATTTTTTCAGGGTGCCCCCGGGAAAGTTGACTCGCCGAGACACGGCTCAGCCTCAGGCGCCTCATCAAAGGATCAAGGAAAGACGAAAAGTGGAGGATTGTTCAGTTTCGGGAAAAAAGCGCAAGCGAAATCACCCACCAGTCCACCACCAACAAATAAGGTTCGTTTGATGAGTGAAAATGACGCCTCAGACTCCTTAAGAGGCCGTTAAACGTTCCCCTCAACCACTGCTTCAATGGTCTAGTGGATAGTTGAAGAGTTGAATTTAAAAGAGTTGAATTCTATGCTATTTTCTGTGCTATTTTCTGTGCCTTCAGCGATTTGACAACAAATGGTCAATTGAAATACTTATCTACTGATTTTAATACAGTCGACTCTCTATCTCGATTCGATACAACGATTTTGAAATTCTAAAACACGTCCTTGGTTTCTGCGTAGCTGCCCCAGCAATCGTTGGCCGCGCAGGGCAACTACGCAAGGAATTTTAATCGTTTTAAAGTCGTTAAATCGAAATTTTTGATCACAAGCGAATCGTTAAATCGAGTCGACTGTACTTTTGGATGGTTTCAGCTTTTGAAAGCTTACAGAAAGCTTAGAAAGCCTTTTTTTGAAGTTACAGAAAGCCATGGGATAAAATTCGAGTCACTAATTCAATACAAAAATACGTAAGGAAACAGTTTTTTTTTATCAAAACAAGAAAGTTTGGCGAGAGTGGGACTCGAAATTGAGAGCAAAAATTCTAGTTGCGTCCGTAGTCTAGCAGACTATCCACTGAACCACAGAAACAGCTGTTAGGGGAGCGTTTGACGGCTTGTTAAGGAGTTTGAAAGGTGATTTTCGAGGTGATTTTCTGTGCTAAATATGTCGCATTTACGAAGGGTTTTGCAAAAACTAAAAACAGGTTCTAGATCCCTATGGCCGATTTTCTAAGATCGACTTGATCTAGAGTCAAAAGGCCAACCCTTCCCTTAGTCGAAGGGACCTTCTAAAATGCACTGAAAGTTACCGTAGTTTGTAGAGAAGCGGTAGGGACTCGGTAGGTAAGCTGACACCGTACTCTGACAGCTATCAACTTCAGTAAGTGTCCACTACAGTACCCCAGTAAATACTAGGTAAGCTACTGTACTCCTGTAAGTACGCTGAAAAGGCTATCACTCCTATAAGTACCTGATGCATCGTACTTGAGGCTATTGTACCCAGTAAGTACTAGGTAAGCTACAGTACTACTTACTAGGTACTCTCGTTGTATCCTAACAGCTATCTACTGTACTCTGCCATCTACCGTACCCCAGTGAGTACTAGGAAAACTACCGTACCCTGATAAGTACTGGGCAAGCTACCGTATCCCAGTGAGTACTACGGAAGCTACCGTACCCTGATAAGTACTAAGCAATCTACGGTACTCCGGTAACTACCCTAGCAGCTACCGTACCCCAGTTAGTACCTACCCACAATCAGCTATCTTTTCGAAAACGCTTCAACCGAGTGCATACTTTAGATTCAAGCTATATCTAAAGTCTTAAGCTTAAGGCAAAATTAGAATATAAAATCATGATTTCTAGCGGTGAAATGACGTCTCGTCGATCAATTTTCTCACAAAAATTCCCAACAATGAACAACTTTGCAAACATATTCATTTTCTCTAATGTTTTGTGTGTGTTTCCTCTTTTTTACTCTTTTTTTTTTTCATTTTTTCGTGTCTCCCCCGGGTTCTAGTGCCCTATCAACCGTTTTCATCTCTTTTTTTTTTCTATTAATAATGCTTTTTTGTTTATTAAACGTTATGCTTGCTAATATTATCTGTTTTTGGCGTTGTTTGGGAAAGCAAAGATGGCGCGCATTCGGTTAGAGGTTTGGAGTTGGATGAAAAAGAAGGGTTGAATGCCCTACTTTTCGACTTCGTTGACTGTTTTTTTGACTTCCAAAAAAAATATTTTAACATTTGTAAACAATAAGATTGAGCTCTAGATTGAATATTCGAATTATTTTAGAGTTCTAAAGTTAATCTCAAAGCTGGATTTGATTTTTGAAGCTATTACAGGTCGATGGACTCGAATTAGTAAACGAAATAGTAAACGCAAACTTTCTACTCCACTGATTTCTTCATTTTCCAACAGGTGTTTCTGTTAGAAAATGGAAACCCCAGTGTGCCAGGAGGCTTGTGTTTTCAAATTTGTTGAGCCGATTTTCTAAACGATGCAAAACAAAAAACAAAATTTGCTTTTCCAAAAAAAACGCGAATTTTTCGCTTTTCTCATTTTTTTTTTTGACTGTCCGTTTAGTCGTTTATTTTTTTGAAAATTCATTCTCTAGTCGATATTTTTGAGTTTTGAGATAAACAAAGTGAAATGAAAGAAAAAAACGCCCGTATTTACACCGCAAAAATACGGAAATTATTTTTGGAAATTTAGAAAAAAATGAGATTTCGATTTTTTTTTTTCCCGGTTACGGTTTTTGTTTTTTATGCTCTCAATGTTTAAATAATGTTTTTAAAGGTTTAAATGCTAATTTGGAGGGTTTAAAGACTATTTGAAGCATTGAAATGACGAATTTTTTCTCCTACACAATAGCTGAACTTATAAAATTCTTTTTAATTAAAAAAATCTTTCACAAACCTTTTAAAATCATTTTCTTTTTTCGATTCTTTACAGATTTTTATATAATAAACGAAGATTTTAGCTCAGTTTACTTGATTTTCAAAAAAACTTACCCGATTTTCTTTCTGCTATTTCGTTGCTGCTCTCCGTTGCTGCTCTCCGTTGCTGCTCCGTTGCTGCTCCGTTGCTGCTCCGTTGCTGCTCCGTTGCTCCTCGTTTGCTCGCTTGTGTTTGATTTTGAAAGGTTTAAATGCCATTTTCCTTTCGAGTAAGGTTTAAATCTTCATTTGCACTGATTTTTTTGATTTTATTTGGGTCGCGACTGAATGGGAAACACCTTTTGAAGTGATCTGTTCAAGAGAAGAAATCTTTCAGCAAATTCAAGAGATCTGATCTTTTCTAGAGACTCGAGTGATCTTTTCTAGAGATTTCGTGACCGAACGAACTATCCGGCATTGGTTTCAACGATTTCGTGAAGGAAATTTCTCACTTCTCGATAGTGCAAGAATAGGAAAACCATCGGAAATCGACGAAGACAAACTTGCTGATTTAGTTGAAGAGGATCCTCGACAAACGAGTCGGGAACACGCTGAGCAAATGAATTGCCACCATACCACGATTTTGAAACATCTTCGGAAAATGGGAAAAGTTCAAAGGCTCGGATTTTGGGTTCCACACCTCTTGTCTCCGGCCAATAGAACGAAGCGATGTGAGGTAGCCGAACTCCTTGATAGGCACATGAAAACCCGAAGTCAGGATCGTCGATTTATTCACCTCTAGAGACTCAAACGTGATCTGTTCTAGAGAAGCAAGCCTGATCTGTTCTAGAGAAGCAAGCCTGATCTGTTCTAGAGACTCAAGCCTGATCTGTTCTAGAGATTCAAACGTCTCCTAGGATCCCGAAACTTCTTTCAAATTAAATCCTTTTTATCGTAAAACATTTTCGAGATCTAAACTTTTAAAGTCTTTTGTGACTTTTTTCAAACAGCTTTGGTGGAAAAGTCCTTTCCGATTTTTTTGGGAGAGTACCTTAAATTTGTCGAATTTTGACGTTTTATAGCTCATTTTAAAGCTGAATTCAAGACGGATCGATTGGTAAAAACCGTTTTGAGATATCTCTTTTCGAAAAGTTTTTACAGCTATTTTAGTAAAGGGCCGCAGAGCCAAAAAAGCCAAAAAATGGCTGTTTTCACGTTTCGTTAGTTTTCCGTGCAGAAACCTAGGCTAAAAACATGTGTTTCGTGATCAGCGTCAAAAATAACCCCTAGACACGCATTTTCAGAATTTTAGCAAAAAATTTTTGCACAAATATTGTCACCGGTGGAGGTCAAACCAGCGACCCTCAGATCAATCGCCTTTCCGCCGCTTTTCGCGATTTTCCTTCGTTTTTCTCGTTTATTGGGGTTATTTTTAACGTGTCTAGGGGTTATTTTGGACGCTGATCACGAAACACATGTTTTTAGCCTAGGTTTCTGCACGGAAAACTAACGAAACGAAACGAAAACTCGTGGAAACCTGGAAAGTGGAATAGCTTTTATCATCTTGTATCATCTTGCATAGAAGCCAGAGCAATGAAGAAGAGAAGCCAGAGCAATGAAGAAGAGAAGCCAGAGCAATGAAGAAGAGAAGCCAGAGCAATGAAGAAGAGAAGCCAGAGCAATGAAGAAGAGAAGCCAGAGCAATGAAGAATAGAAGCCAGAGCAATGAAGAAGGGAAGCCAGAGCAATTGCTTCTTCGTCTTTCTTAGATTTCTTAGACTCATCCTCATCTTCAACCATAGCAACATGTTAAGAAAGAAGTTTTCCCAGCGATAGGCTTCGAACTGGGGAGAGAACGCGAGAACGAGGGAAAGAATGCGCTAACAGTTCGAGTTCAACGCGATAACACTATCCACTAGGCTACCAACGTAGAGAAGATTTGGCCATCAGGGCTTTATAAGCCAAGCAAAGCAAAGCAAAGCAAAGCAAAGTAAAGTAAAGCAAAGTAAAGTAAAGTAAAGTAAAGCCAAGTAAAGCAAATCACAGCAAAGTAAAGCAAAGTAAAGCAAAGTAAAGTAAAATAAAGTAAAGTAAAGCAAAGTAAAGTAAAGCAAAGCACAGCAAAGTAAAGCAAAGCAAAGTAAAGTAAAGCAAAGTAAAGCAAAGTAAAGTAAAGTAAAGCAAAGCAAAGCAAAGCAAAGCAAAGTAAAGTAAAGTAAAGTAAAGCCAAGTAAAGCAAATCACAGCAAAGTAAAGCAAAGTAAAGCAAAGTAAAGTAAAGCAAAGCACAGCAAAGTAAAGCAAAGCAAAGTAAAGCAAAGCTTTAAGTAAGTCAGAACAGTAAGCAAAGTCAAACCTATCGGTCAAACCTGTCAAACCTCGAAACCAAGAACGGAAAGTAATCGTCGTTGAAATCGTTGAAATCGTTCAAATTTAAGCAAATTTAATAGCGTTAAACTTTTAAAATGGAGTTTTAAAATCGACTTTTAAAATCGATAAGCTAAAAATTTGATTTATTCTATAAAAAAATGTAAAGAATCGAAAGATCAACATGGTTTTTCGTTTTTTTTTTTTTTTTTTCGAAATTCTCCTTTTCTTCTTCTAGGAAATGCTAAGGAAATGCTGTTTTTTTAAAGAAAAATTTCAATTTATGTCTTTTTTGGGGCTGGGACAAATGCGGCTTTTTTTTTTGCGCACCTGGACATTATTTGCGCACCAAATTATTGTGATTTTGCTGGAAAAGGCCTTAGGCAAAGTCGTAGAGCTTCAAAAGCGTTTTCATAGAAGGGAATCGTATGCGTAGTTTCCGAATTTCGACAAATCACACCTCGCTGACACGTCAAATTTGGGCTAAAAGGTAAAAACTGCGGAAAAGCATTAGGTTGCATAGTTTTTGCTTTTTAGCCCAAATTTGACGTGTCAGCGAGGTGTGATTTGTCGAAATTCGGAAACTACGCATACGATTCCCTTATACGGAAACATTTTCGAAGCTCTACGACCTTTCCTAAGGCCTTTTCCAGCAAAAAAAAGGTGCGCAAATGTCCAGGTGCGCAAAAAAAGGTCGCATTTGTCCCACCCCCTCTTTTTTGTCTTTTTTTGTCTTTTTTCATCTTTTTTGTCTTTTTTGTTTCAAATTATTGTGATCTCTTTCGTTTTTTTTCAATTTTTTCAATTTTTGCAAATTTTTTTCATTTTTAAACCCTTTTTCTATCATTTTTCTTAATAAAAGTTCGCTTTTTTATGATTTTTTGAAAGAAATTTGCAAAAATATAACATAAAATAAGATAAAAGAACAGAAATTGATTGAAATTGATTCAAATTGATTGAAATTGATTCAAATTGATTCAAATTGATTCAAATTGATTCAAATTGATTGAAATTGATTCAAATTGATTCAAATTGATTGAAATTGATTCAAATTGATTGAAATTGATTCAAATTGATTCAAATTGATTGAAATTGATTCAAATTGATTGAAATTGATTCAAATTGATTCAAATTGATTGAAATTGATTCAAATTGATTCAAATTGATTGAAATTGATTCAAATTGATTGAAATTGATTCAAATTGATTCAAATTGATTGAAATTGATTCAAATTGATTCAAATTGATTGAAATTGATTCAAATTGATTGAAATTGATTCAAATTGATTCAAATTGATTCAAATTGATTCAAATTGATTCAAATTGATTCAAATTCATTCAAATTGATTGAAATTGATTCAAATTGATTGAAATTGATTCAAATTGATTCAAATTGATTGAAATTGATTCAAATTGATTGAAATTGATTCAAATTGATTCAAATTGATTGAAATTGATTCAAATTGATTCAAATTGATTGAAATTGATTCAAATTGATTGAAATTGATTCAAATTGATTCAAATTGATTGAAATTGATTCAAATTGATTGAAATTGATTCAAATTGATTCAAATTGATTCAAATTGATTCAAATTGATTCAAATTGATTCAAATTCATTCAAAT